ATTACAAAGAAAATTGAGTGTTTCAGTTGATTTGAGATAGTTCAGATTAAAAATCAGCATTTAACAGTTTGTGTTTAAAAATTCATAACTTCCACCCAGAAATTTATTTTATTGTGGTTCTTTGAACGTTGAAACCATCTTCACATCCTCTTAATTTCATATGTTTGGGTCGGAAGATAATTTTGTGAAGAAGATCTCTGAAATTGCGAAATATGTTGAAAATCGTATGTTGAAGTGGATTTCCAGTCAACTCTCGTGCAATATTACAAAAATCATAACTTTCTCGATTTTTAACATTTCGAGACAATTCTTTTGGCATGATATCACAAATTTTGTTAGCTACAAGTTTGCTTCAGGGCCCGAGTTCGAATTCTCATCAGAAGACTTTAGTTTATAGCTTGTTTCTAAAGTTTAACGTCGAAATATGATGCAAAAGTTGCGCAACCAAAAACAGAGAGTTTTTTGTCTCCAATTTGTCGTCACTGTAAAAATAAAAATTTCTTTATTTTTATCGTATCGGGACAATTCTTTCGGCACGGTGTCACAAATTTTGTCATTTACGTTTTTGCTTCAAGAGTCAGATTCAAATTATGCTCCAAAAGTTATGGTTTGTGGCTCACATCTCGAAGTGTACACAAAAAATGGTGAAAATTGTGCACTACCAAAAAATAAGGGAATGTGACTCAAAAACTGATTATTTCATTTCCATTTACCAAACAAGGCCCAAGGGCTCATCTATAAATTGATTTCAACTCAAATTAAAAGGACTTTTTCTTATTTTTCACAAAATCAACTCAAGAGAGCAAATAATTCTCTCAAGTTTCTCTCAAGCAAGGTCACTCTCCCCTCTCTCACCGTCCACCCTTCTTCTCCGACCGACGCCACCGCCTGGCCGCCCTTGCCCGTCCAACCGGCTTATCATCCGACTACCCCCGGCTATCTGCGGCTGATCCAACCGACCCACTCAGATCCCCCTCCGTTCGGCCTCCTTATTTAGGTCGATACTCCCTCCTCTTCCAATCTCGACCCTTCGGAGAGTTCGTCTGATCCAGTCTCCTCTCCATTCTCCGATCCAACTTCTCTTCGTGCTTATTTCAGTAAAAATTCTTGAAATTAATTGATTTTAAGTGCTTAATTGATTAATTAATTTCAAATTAAGTGCTTATTTGAGTTAAACATGAGTTGAATTTACTTGAATTGTTGAGATTAATTGTTCTTGAGTTTCAATTATGGACAATTGTGAAATCGGATGATTAATTGCTTAATTGTTTGAATCTCATGTGCATCGACACGATAATTATTGTTGATTATTGATTTTACACATCGAAGCTTGATTGCGATTCGATAATTGTTGATAATTGTTTAATTTCATGAGTTGACAATTTTTATTTTGATGTTTGGTAACCGATGCACCGGAAGCGATTTAATGCTTGCAATTTATTTGTGAATTTCGAGCAACTTTCCAAGTATCGATGTTGGATGATTTTGCGCGTTAAATGTTAATTTCTGAATGATTTTTGGTGGACATCAATGCATGTAACAATGCTTCCCGAAATTTACAAATACGTGTAAATGTTGCATTTAATTGTCGGTTCATACATGTTTAACTTTCACTTGATGATTGTTAGTTGTTGTTGATGAGTTTTGTTGATTTTAATTAGACATTTTTTAGCCTTTCATGAGATAAAAAGTTGCTGCCCAAAGCTTTGCTTTATGGTTCCGATACTTGTTCTGAAGTTGTTTCTTCATTATTTAATATAAATTTAAGTTGTGATGCAAATGCTTAACTTCATATATCATTTCTTGTTATTACTAACTCATCTTGTGAACTTGTGCAAGCTTTCAAAGGTGTCTCGGTACATCATACTTGTGTAATCCACCTCTGTAAGAGAGGTAAACCTATGTAATACACCAGACTTGTCATATTGGTCCTTGAAGTTCTTCGCACTATTAGAATAAACCTCAAACATCTTGGTATCATACGTATGTAAAAATATGGCTTTGATGCCATAACTTGGAGAATTGGCCATGCATCAGAAATGCAACTCAATCTTTATGTCGCATATGTTAGTGTGAGCCACCTCCGTAAGGGGTAACCAGATAATACTGATCCTTGAAGTTATTTACATTATTAGAATAAACCTCGAACATTTTTCTATCCTTTTCAGGGAAATCAAAACTTTTGACCTTGCACTGAATCAGCGGAACTGTGTTGAGCTTTAAAGAGATGAAAAAAATATAGTCAAGGTTGACACACTTCTCTTGTACTGTCATCAATATTGGAAGACTTTGACATAAGCCTATAACTCACTGGGTGTAGTTGTGAATGGGCAATTTCCACGTGATTTACACCTCAAAGTCATTAAAAGGAAGACTAAAATCAATCAAGAAAAACAAGAACTCGTGAAGGGGGATGACACACCCATCATACTTGCTGAATATCCTCTTATTCCCTTCTGGGAAAATCAACCCCAGGCTTAAAAAAGACCCGCCTTAGTGAACGCAAGATCTAAACCACCTTTACCAACAAAGGAGCAATTGTTATGGGATTAGACTTTATTCTCCATAATTATGGACAAATTAGTATTAACAAGGATTATGTGACAATAAGTAAAAATTGTTCATTGATACCTATTATTTCAAACTTTAAACCACAAACAAAAAAACCTGAAACTTGCAATTGCAAGGGAACCAGGGATAAATGTTCTTGCAATAATATAGAACAACAAGATTTAGATTTAGACCTAAACAATGGTATAGAAAGTGAATTACACTTAATAGACACTACAAATTTCACAAAAAAACCTACAAAATTATGACCTAGAACAGATAATTAAAAAATTAAAAAAATTAAAATAATAGGAGAAAATCCTACAAAATTTTGGGAAAGAAATAAAACTCTATGTAAGTTAGAAATTATCAACTCATACATTACTATTAAATCACCTAATTTCAAGTGTGGCAATTGAGAACAAGAAGAATTTAAAATGCACATTAACCAGTTATTGAAATAGGAATTATTCAAAAATCAAATTCTAGACACAAAACCCCTACTTTTATTGTTCAAAAAGAAGCGGAAAATAAAAGGGGACAATCCAGAATGGTTTTTGATTATAGAAGATTAAATGATAATACATTTGAAGATGGATACTGTATACCTGACAAAGACACTTTAATTAACAAAATACAAGGTAAAAATTGATTTTCTAAATTTGATTTAAAATCAGGCTTTTGGCAAGTAAAAATGCATAAAGATAGCATTGAGTGGACAACTTTTTCTTGTCCATTGGGATATTTTGAATGGCTAGTAATGTTATTTGGACTTAAAAAATACACCACAAAATAGATGACATTTTTAAAGAATGTTACAATTTTACTTGTGTTTACATTGATGATGTTCTTGTTTTTTCTAAATCTGAAAAAGAACATCTAGAATATTTATATACAATTTTTTCCTTATTTGAAAAACATGGTCTAATAATTTAAAAAAAGAAAATTGAAATTCGAAAAAATTATATCTCTTTTTTAGGGGCGGAAATAGGAAATAGTACTATTAAATTACAGCCTCATATTTCTAGAAAAAATTTATAATTTCAAGATAAATTGGAAGACTTAAAACAATTAGTCTTTTCTAGGATTAATAAGTTATGTTAGGCCATATATCAAAAATTTGCCTAAATTAATTTCTCTCTTATATAATAAGGCACAACAAAAAGGAGTTAGAAAATTCAATGATCAAGATATCAAAATAGTTCAACAAGAAACAAACAAATTAAAGTATTAGAACCATTGACTTTACCATTAGAATCGGATTATTTAATTATAAAAATTGATGGGTGTGAATTAAGATGGGGAGGAATCTTAATCAAAAAACCCAATGAACTTTCTATGAAGCCATTAGAAAAAATTTGTAGATATACTTCAGAAACCTTAAAAAAAGGATATTTAACATCTCTTGATTATGAAATTTTAGCTATTATTTATGTTTTGAAAATTTTTGCTTTATTTATCTTATCTAAAAAATAAATTACTATTAGAACTGATTGTGAAGCAATTGTAAAGTTTACAGATACAAAAAATGAAAGAAAATTAACCAATAATAGATGACTTAAATTGAGAGAATTTGTCTTAAATAGAGGATTTAAAATAAAATGGGAACATATTAAAAGAAAGAATAATAAAATACAAGATTTATTATCCAGAAAATTGCTACATAATTAACAATTGTGTTTGAATTTTTCAGAAAAATACAGGAAATTCAGACATTACAAATGGCAGGCAAAGTCATTGACTTTGATATAACCAAATTAAAGATATTTCCTGAAAAGTAACAATTCAAAATACCTATAAGAAATCAGCTCAAAGAAGAAGAAACATGTCTTCTAGACAATATTTGGAACTTATCTACCACCTCCCAAGGCAACAGTAAGAAAGTAGTAGTAATAAATGCATTAGCATCTTATTTTACTACCGAAGACATTTGAGAAAAAAACCATTTATTTGCTACACATTATTCACTGGTCCAAAAGCTGGAGTTTATTTATATTGAGAAGAAATTTCCCAGTTAATTGAAGAAATTAAATTATTTCCAAGGTATGGTCAACCCTTGTAAACAAAATTCTATTATATACAAGAAGCCATGGACATAGTAATTAAGAATTATGGAAATGATATTATCATATCACCACGAGTTCTTAAATACCAAAATACTTTAAAACACTTGAAAACCTTTGGTGACCAAGATTTTTTACATGAAATTCAAAATATTACTCCTAAAGGAAAAGGAACAGAAGTTTCCTTAATACCACAAACTCCACAAAAAGAACAAAAAAAATTTAGTGAAACATTAAATTCTCCAAAAAACCCAAAAATCATCACAAGTTTGGTAAATCTAGAAAAACCATTAATTCAGACACCTCCCAAGACTTCTACAGAAGAAATGGGAATAAAAACATTTGTTTTATTACAAGAAGCCTTGGCCCAAATTTGTAACAACCAAATTATCCACAATGGAATCTCCACTGAATGTGATTTTGTTCACAATAACTATAAACCATGTCAAAACTTATTTGAAGACTGCCCTGAAAATCAAGAGGGTGAATGCTATTGTCAATTAGATTCTACCATTAGGAAGGCAAGGATCTCCTTACCAACTTTTAAACCCTTCAAATTTATAGATTACCATTTAACATTAACCAATTTGCTTAAACATGTGCTAAGTATAATTAATATTCTACCATTATATGACTTCACTCCATATTTACTAGCATTCTTAATTGATACATACATTAGAAATCATAATTCTAGAATTTTCACAAAATGCAAAACTGGAAATAACATCATTATATTCAGATTTTCACAATAATTGTCCAAGTTATCATTTAATTTGGTTATATTTCAAGAAATATGGATATTGAATTTGAAGAATTCGAAGTGCAAAATTCGGGTCCAAAGACCTTAGACTTAGAAGATCTCCCACAACAAGTAGAAATTGTCAGAGCCAAAATAATTTCTAAAGACTTTGGCCGGTCTAAATACAAAATGGATGGGAAAAAAACTCCTAAGAGAAGACAAAACAGGGAAAATTTATTGTAACTCAGATATTACAAAAAATTTCTTTTTCCCTTTTGAATTCAAACATTCAAGGCCAAAATTGGTAGAGACATACGGGAGAAGAAGTACATCTTGGGAAAACAAATCAGGATCATCAAAATCTTCACAAGATAATCCATTGATTGTGTAAATTGAAAAAAGATACGTCACTAATGACGTAAAATTAAATAATTATTACCGATAATAAAAAGCCTGAAAAAGACAAGCATTAAGGGAATAGTTACTTGACCATTCTAAGATATGTAAGGGTAATTCTGACCCACAAGGCTATGGAAGGGGGCATGTCCCTTTCAACTTTTTATCATGTACATTATTGTTAGGAAAAGTTAGGTAAATTTTGTTGTTTTAAGTGCTTTAGATAAGGTTAGCAAATAATACTTTATCTTTTTGTATTGTTTCTAGAGACTTCCCCTTCATCTATAAAAGGAAGTTCTCATCATGTTTGTAAATATACGCAATCAAAATATGCAATCAATAAAAAATGTTTTTCAATACACCTTACTACAAATTTTCACTTTCACATAAAATATCTTATTCCGACTTCCTTATTGCTTCTAAGAGGTATGATTTTTTAGTAGCTTAATCTTAATAATCTATGTTTATGTTTATGCTTATTGTTAATCTATGTTTATCCCACAATCAAAAGACGTAAATCCTGCTTGAACTGAATATGATCATTAAACTAAGAAAGAATCTGTTAGGGAAGTAAGTATCAAGAGAGGAAAATAGTACCGCTAGAAGGAGATTCTTAGATCTTAGGTCATAAACGCAGAGAAGTCTCTGAGACAACTTTGTGGTAGTAAGTGAGGGATGAAAATGTGAGGTTCTAGCTTAAACATGGGATATTCAATAATCATAAAAATAAGCTAAAGTTATTAAACTAAAGAAACGAACAAATCATAATACTCGAAGAAACTAGTAATAGGAAAGCGGAATAAAATTTAAAATAAAATATTTTCACAAAACATATTTTTGAATAATTTCAATATGAAACCAAATAAAGATAATTCAAATTTTACAAGTCAAAGGTATTTTTCAAATTATTTTGGAATAGATTATTCAAAACCTAATTCAGACAAAAAATTATCAGAATTAATTTTTATCTAAAATTTTGATACAAAGATAACTTATTTACTCCAAAGATTTCCTTATTCGGATTTAATCAAGATTATATTAGAAACTTTGGTAATACACAAACAAATTCAGACAATGATATAAATTTTGATGATGATGGTTATGAAACAAATTAAAAATATTCTTCATTAAAATAAATACTTCCTTGCGAATAATTCTAGCAATATAGACTTATCCAAAGAAAGAACAAATCTAAAAGAATATAGAAGAATTATTACAGATTTAGAAAAAGAATTAGAATCCATTAATTTACATATTAAAAAATAGTAATAAGACTACATATTCTTCTTGTTCTCAATTGCCATGCTTGAAATTAGGTGATTTAATAGTAACGTTTGAGTTGATAATTTCTAACTTACATAGAATTTTATTTCTTTCCCGAAATTTTTTAGAATTTTCTCCTATTATTTTAATTTTTTCTAATTTTTTAATTATCTATTCTAGGTCATAATTTTGTAGATTTTTTATAAAATTTGTAATGTCTATTAAGTATAATTCACTTTCTATACCATTGTTTAGGTGTAAATCTAAATCTTGTTGTTCTATATTATTGCAAGAACATTTATCCTTGGTTCCCTTGCAATTGCAGGTTTTGGGTTTTTTTATTTGTGGTTTAAAGTTTGAAATAATATGTATCAATGGACATTTTTACTTATTGTCACATAATTCTTGTTAATACTAATTTGTCCATAATTATGGAGAATAAAGTCTAATTCCATAATAGTATGAATAGAAAGATTCATATCTCTAACCCAAATTTTTGGCCATTGATAATAATCTGACCAATAATTACAATTTGTCTGGAATTTTACTTGGATGTTTTTAAATTATGAATCTGTCAATAATCTAGTTTCATCGAACTGTGTAGAATATGATGGTTTTACTTTAACAATTTTATTTTTTAAGTCATTTCGGATTAGTTTTTCATCTATAGTAGATGAAGTTGCTCCAGTATCCACTAAAATTGTTAAAGTACTTTCTTAACAATGAATATTAATTTTTGCTGGTATTATAATTTGTATTAATTTATCTTTATTGCAGATTAGTGGTACATGAATTTCACATGATTTTTCTGTATTATTTATAATGTTAACTTCTTCTTGAGTAATTTTTGTTAATTTCAAATTAGTTTCATAGATTGGTAATTTTCCTTTTTTAATAGTTTCTATTAGTTTTTTAATCTTTTCTTCTAAATATTCAAGTCTTGTTTCTAATTTGTCAACCTTATTTTCTAAGTTTTTAAACTTGGTTTCTATCTTATTTTCTAAATTATTTTTATCTTATGGAGCACTTGAATTTTTTGAGATTTCCTGAATTATGTTTTCTATGCTAAAAGGTTTTTTAATGAAATTTGAACATATTTGTTTTAAATAAATTTGACATTTCCATCTTTTATCAAAAGAAGAAAATCAATTACATTTGAAGCATCTAATGTTGTCACTTCTAGCTTTGAAGTTTCATTATGGTGACAATCTAAAGGTTTATTTTTTGGCTCCTTTATTTTTTTTGGCTCCATTATTTTTTGTCACTTCTAGAGGAATTTCAATTTCTTCATTTTCTATTCCTTCTAAAGAGAAAATACTCGAAATTTCAGAGTTGTCTGAAATATCTAAAGTTATTTCTAAAATGTCTTCTTTTATAGTAGATATAAAATTTGATTCTCTTGTAAATAAATTTTATTTGTTTGAGCAAACAGAAGATAAATGTCCTGGTTTATTACAAGCAAAACAAGTAATTGTATTTCTATAAGTCTTGTTAGGGTTATATTTTCTGACATATTTTTCTTTGTTTAAATACGATTTTCTGGCATTAGATTTTCTTAAATAATTTTTATTTACATAATTTTTCTTAAATCTAGGTTGGTTCCTCTGATTTTTATCATCAGAATGCTTGCATATTATTGTGGAGTATAAATTTATTTACAGAATCTTACATTCTTTTGTTTTAATTCTTTTAGAATTTGAATATAAGTATATTTCTTTTTTAATTCAGAAATAATGTATTGTAGTTTTATTCCAATGTTATCAAATTCATTATTAACTTCTAATTTCTTCCAATTTTTATGAATTTCATGACCTAATGGTCCTGGTAATTTGGTAAATAATCTTTCTCCTAATTTTGTAGAAAGATAGTTTCCTGAAGTGCTTGCTAAGGCATAAAAGTCTTGTAAAAATTCTATTATATGGTTCTAATCATATAATTGAATTAATTCTAAATCTCTCATGTCTTCAGTCTGACTCATAGTTAATCCTACATTGACATCTTTGCCTGTAATAATTCTGTGTATTAAATATGTAAAATTATGAATATTATTTCCTTGATTTACTAATTCTGCTAATTTTTCTGAAAAATTAGCTTTAAATGCTTCCCAAGCAGCTCTAGCTATATCTCCTAGATAATTTCCAGCAATTTTAATCATTTATTCACCTGTTATAATATTATAATGTTTGCTTTCATAATCTTTGATACCAAAGAAGTCCATTGCTCAATGTATGTATCTAAAAATTGTGGATGGATATTAGTAATGTTTAACATAACTTTTTCATGTCCATATAAATTGATTTCATTAGGTTTTCTTTTTTCTAATGTCCTTAGGTTATGATTGTTGTTAGTGTAGATAGTCACATGCAATCTTGAAGGGTGTTCTATAGAGTAACCCATTTGAGTTGGTCTACTATTTGGAAATTTGGATGTAGCAAAGTTGTTAGATTCTTCATTTACTAAATTCTTTTCTGAGTAGCTTATCTCAGAATTTTCTTCTTCTACATTCTCAATTTCTTCGAATAAATTTTTTAGACTTTGCACATCTTCTAAATATTGTCCATAAGGAATTTTTTGTTAGTATTCAGATTTGATAATTCTATTTTTGTATTGTATTTTTCCATTAAAAGTTCATCATTCTTAATTTTTTTAATTCTTCTAGTGTTAAGACTTTTTCAGTCATCTTCACTAGTTTGTTTATGGGTTTCCTCATAATTTTTAAATCTTAAGGCTAAAGAATATTTGGTAGTATAAGTCATAACCTCTGTAGGTGTTAATGTTTCAGCTTCAGTCTGAATATTATTTTTAATTTTCCATTCTTCTCCAGCTAAAAGAGAAGGAAGAATTGGTTCTTGACCTAAAAAGGTAATTCCTCTTGATGTGATTGTTTTAACCATATCATCAATTTTTAGTTTAAATTTTGGTGAGACTTGTGTTGATAATTTTCCGAGAAAAATAATGTCTATCGCAATATTTGATCCTTTAAAAATTTTAAATCCTTTACTTTCTGAACTTGAATTTTTATGTATTTTAAATCTTTAATTCCTATGGTAAAGTTTGGACATAAATAATGGATTCCACAGTTATTATTCATGTCAACTTCAATTACTCTCATTATTTGTCTATTTAGTTATGGATACCTAGTATCTAATATGGCTATTAGTACTTTTGCACTATTTTGTTTCATTACTAGACCTCTTACACTAGTTGTGATTAATCTTAACTGAACATAATTCATTTGTTATTTATTTAATTGATTTATACTATCATTTGTTAATAATTCAAATTCTTCAATATGATCATCTGGTAATTCTAGCATTTCTGACTTGTGTGTTCTAATTAAGCTTGAATAATTTTCAAGGAATCCAGACCTATATAGTTGGGTTGGTCTTAAGAGATTAATGTGGTCATTTGTCATAATTTTTAAGTCTTTATTAGTATTCACAATTTGTTCTAATTGATAAGAATTTTTATCTTCTTTTCTATTTAAAAATTTATTTAAGTAGGAAGTATTTTGAGTTTGGTTTAAAGTGGTAGTTCTAGATGAACTAACCTCATCATCCATTAATGTTCTAGGTCGGTCAATAAAAGAATTTATAATTTCAAATGTTTTTTAACTTTTTATCTATTATAAGTTTAGAAGTTTTTAGTTCTAGTACTTGTTGTTTTTCTTTCAATACTTATTTATGAGAATATTTTAGTTAAAGAATTTATAGATACTTTTAACTCTAATCTATTAATTAGAGTTTTAGTTTTTATCTGCTCCTTTAAGATTATTAAAATTTGTTTATTACAACTTAAAATTTCTCTTTAATTGTTCTAACATTTCTAATTTCTTTCCTTGTTTATCTAAATAAGTTCTAAGATAATTTATATTGGATTCCATTTATGGCTCAGATCTCATACTCTAATACCAATATAAGATATGAAAGTGGTTAATATGAGAATATAATATATATTGAATGACACCAGGCAATATAATGCCTCATGCATATTGATTGGTCTTTTCAACATCAACACAACATCAACATAAATGGCACTTTTAATATGAGAAAATGGAGCTACCCATTAAAACTAGAGAGTTAAAAGACGAATTATTTCTCTCTTAAGAATCAATGACCAACTTTAGAAAGAAAAGAATTTATAGATTGATAAACTTCATTTAAAAAAATTCTTTTTTTCTTAATTCTAGTATTTTGGTCAATGAGATCTTACATATGAAGATGTACGTAGTAATAAATAAACATTAAGGTTAAGAATCAAATTTACAGCAATGGCAACATTCAAACAATGAACATGAGTTATTTTCTTCATCAAAACTTGGGTACAATTTCATCTTAGACAATCACGTTTAGCAACAATTTCTGAGGATTAGATATCTTCACTATTATAAATAATAATATCACCTATAGTTATTGGCAAAATTATTTCATATTTCCAATCCTCTATACAAGAAAATGTATAAAAAGCCAGAGAGTACCAGAGGCAATGAAACAAGAACAGTTTTTGCCAACCCTTGTGACACTTGTGGTTCCTCTTCAATAATAGTTTCTAGCCTTAAACAACGTGAAGGTCTCTTATAATAACTTGATGTTACGAGTGCTGGTGCAACTTCACCCCACTTGTTGATTGATTTCACCATTTGCGATTGTGTGTGTATTTTGAGAAAATGTTTTGCACCTAAAGAAAATTATGTTATGTTAAAATAGGATTTTATTGGTTGTAGGAAAATTTGATATTGAAAGTAGAACTTGTTGATTATGTAGAAGAGAAAACATTAGATTTTATATAGGGGTGCAAATAACCTATATTTGGGGTGTACCATGGAAATTAGAGTCTAAAGAAAGGTGTCCCAACATTATAGGGGATAACTTTCGATGACATAATTAGTGTTTGAATGTGTCTTCTTTGACAACTAATGTACAGCTACATATTTCATTTTGCATTACCAACTAATAACTAAATAAGTTTAATTTGATCTAATTTGCTATTAATCATGGGCCAACTTGTTAAATGTTAATGAGCACTACTAGTCCAATATATACTACCACAATGGGTCAACCCGTTTTTGTTGGTGGTATTTTAGAAGGGAATGAAAAATATTTTTTTTTCTTTTTTTTTTCTTACACATTAAATGGTGAACTCTCATTTATAGTGAATGATAGGTATATGCTTCTCCAATACTCTAAGTACATGTTTTTAATACAATCATTTATTGATATAACAATTACTCAACACGTTTCCTCTTAATGTGTTGTTTTTGAACTCTAAGAGCTTCTCTTAATTTTTGAATTTTTTTTGTAAAAAGAGCTTTTGTGAAAATATTAGCAATTTGATTGATTCTTTGTTTTGCAAAATTTTAGTTGCACCTCCTTATCATCAGTTGCTTCTCGAATATAATGATGGACTAGATTCTTAGCCATAGCAATGTCTGATTTATCATCACAACGGATAGTCACAACTTCTTGTTTCTCACCAAAGTCTTCAAATATTCTATTCAACCATATTACTTGTTGGATAGTTAAGCCAGCTGAAATATAATCAACTTTCGCAGAAGATTGAGCAATAATTTATTGTTTTTTGAGTACTGTGAAATAGCTACTAAACCTAGTCAAAAAACATATACAATGGTGCATTTCATGCAATCCATACAAATTGCTCAAGCATTGTTATATTTGATTTCATAGTCCAAAGTACCTTGAATTCATCTCAACACCCTTTTTGGTGATCTATATGGATATGACTTAGATTATTCATGAACCGAGAATGTAAAGTTGCTTCAAACATGATATCAGATCTTGTACTAGTGAGGTAAAATATATTACTAACATCAACCTTCTTTCGTTCATCTTCTTTCTTCAATTTTTCATTCACAATTAAAGGTGTATCAGTTGAATTACAACCAAACATTTTAAATTTTTTCAATATTTTCTCAGCATATTTCTTTTGACAAAGGAAGACTCCATCAACCTCTTGGTAAATTTCAATTCCAACATAATGATGTAGCAGTCCCTAATCATTCATCTCATATCTCATCATCATTTCTTTTCTAAAAAATTTAATCAACTTTAAGTTATTTCCAGTAAAGATTAAATCATCCACATAAAGTGCAACAATTAAAATATCAATCATAACTTGTCATTTAACATACAAAGTAGACTCATTCTTGCTCTTCTCAAAACCTTTCTCCATGAGGTAATTGTCAATATTAATATAGCATGCTCTTGGTGCTTGTTTCAGCCCATAAAGAGTTTTCTTCAATCTTTAAACATTTTCTTCTCGGCCTTCAATCTCAAAGCCTTGAGGTTGCTCCATGTAGACTTCTTCTTTATGTTCTCCATTTAAGGATGTCGACTTTACATCTAGTTGATACAACTTTCATTCTTTTTGGGTTGCAAGAAAGATTAATACTATAATGGTGTCGAGACGTGCTATAATGCATAGCCATCTTCAACAATTCTTTCTTTGTTCTTTTGGAATGAACTGTTTGGATTATGTTTAACTTTGTAGGCTCATTTCACATTAATAACTTTTTTGTCATCCGACTTCTCCACTAACTCTCAAGTCTTGTTCTTTTCAATTGCATCTATTTCTTCTTGCATTGACTTCCTATAAGGATATTCTTTAAATGCTTCTTCAAAATTTACAAGTTCAATTGTACAATAGTTTCATCTAGCATAAATATCATTCAAACTCCTAAATTTTAATGGAGTTGAGCTTGGAGGTGATGAGCTAGAGTTTGGTGAAGATAATGTGCTAGGTGGAGAATTTGGTATAGAAGAAACATTTTCCTCACTTTTGTAAGAAGTTTTATTTTTCTCTAAAATGTTTGTTGGAACTATTTTCACATTAACACTCTCCTTTTTCCAATTCTAAAAAGTATTTTCATCAAATACAATATTTTGACTGACAATCACTTTCTTGAAGTTTAAATTGTAAAGTCTATAACCCTTTGATATAGAGTTATAGCCAATAAATATGAATATGTCACTAAATTCTTCAAGTTTTTTTCATCTTCACTTTAGGAAATTAAGCATAGAAAACACACCCAAAACATTTAAGGTGGTTTACCAAAGTCTCTCTTCGACCCCGTGCTTCAAACAATGTCGTGTTTCATACAATTCTTGTTGGCCATCTATTCAACAGGCACACAATTGTATTAACAGTTTCAGGACAAAATTCTTTAGGAAACCCTTTCTCGAACAACATGGAATTAGCCATCTCCATCACATTCTGATTCTTTCTTTTGGATACACCATTTTGCTGAGGTGTATAACCAACAACCAGCTTCCTCTCCACACATTCTTCACAAAAATTATCAAATTCATTGGAGGTGTACTTTTTTTGCCCTATCACTTCTAAAAAATTTATGGACCTTCCACTCGGTTTCTCAATAAAATATTTAAATGTCTTAAATGTCACAAAAATTTCAGATTTTTGTCTCATTAAATAAACACATGTCATATGGGTTAGATTATCAATGAATAGAATAAAATACCTATTATGTGAATGAGACAAGGTGTTCATAGGATCACACATATCTGTGTGAACCAATTCCAGAACTTCTTTAGCTCTTCTCACTCCTTTGTTGGGAAATGGTTGTCAATGGTGTTTTTCAAATATACATATTTTGCATACTATATGTTTCTTTTCAATTACTGACAACTCGAACAACATATTCTTTTGAGAAAGCAATGTGATATTGTTGTAGTTTGAGTGTCCAAGTCTCTTGTGCCATAGACAAGAGTCACCTTCTTCTCTAGCCATCAAGTTGATATGTTTCTCATAATTAAGAGAAAGTGGAAAGCTTAAGCTTTTGGTCATTTTTACAACAACAACAACAACTCTTTTTTTTAATAAAAAAATATGCACTCTTGATTCTCATATTGAAGATAATAACCATGCTCCAATAGTTTCCCAATTCTCAATAATTTTTCATCTAACTTAGGAGAATTAAGAGTATCATGAATTACCTTACCTCGTTGCATCGTTTCAACTCTAATGAAAAATCCTTAGTTACTTCTATAACAGCCACCATATGATCAAAATTTTCAACCCGACTAATTAAAATTTTGTCCACGATTCTTCAATCTTCAATTGTATCCCTATGAGACTTAATTTGATTCACCAAATCAGTGGGTATATTATATTACTCATTTAAACTTTCATTTTCTTTCATCTTTTCATTCTCAAAATCTCTTTTTAGAGACATAGGTTTGATTGTTCTCACTTTTGAATCTCCTTAAAAATCTTATTGTTGAGTTTTCTATGCTTCTTTGCCTTTTTTTGTTCTCATGGTTCTTGGAAAAATGATATTCGATACTCCTCTTTGAATTATCTCAAAAACTCCAACATCTGTGATTTTTTCTTTAATTCTTTACTTTGTGTTATTTGCATTCCACTATAGTTGCTAGTTCTTCATACCCTTGTTTGACAAACTCAAAACAACCAAAGTTTTGAACAAACTCTTCTTCTTTACTACCCCAAAATCATAATTTTATCCATTATACAAATTAAATTGGACATTTCTATAAGTAGTGTCGATGCTTGTTGAGACATTACCCTATGAAGCCATGACTCTTCATCTTCAATATCCTCTCAATCTTCTATTTTTGTTTCTTTTCTTTAAGGATTTGAAACTGTGATACCACTGTGTTGATGGTATTCTAGAAGGGACTAAAAATATTTTTGGTTTCTTTTTCTTCTTCTTGTTTTTTCTAACACATAAAATGGTTGAGAACTCTCATTTATAGTGAATGATAGATCTATCTAGGAACCATTAATACTTTAGGTACATGTTCCTAATACAAACATTTATTGATATAGCACATTACTCAACAATTTATTTAAAGTCTCACAATGCAACTTATGCTCCAAGAGTATGGAATTCGAGGGTTTAACTAGAGTTTTATGATTATTTTAATCTTAAAATAATGTATACCTTCTTTATCAAGATTTCTTGATAAATAATTCCCTCAAAGGAAACACCAAATAACTATGGTGTATCCTTCCCTACACATCATTGGATGCGAAAGTTGGTATAAAAAATAAGACGAACAAGTCTAATACAAACATGTCCATTCCATTGATCACTAAGGATTATAAATTTTGAGATATTATCAAACAATTTGCTTTGATCAATAACGAATGACATTTTCCATTGTCGTTCATCCTTAGACCGGAGACTTCATAAATGTTGTATACTTTAGAAGTATACCTTTGCTTTGCACAAATTTAATTAATAATCTTCAAATCTCCAAGCTGTAAAGCATATCGGCAAAACACTAAGGTTTCACCTTTGGTGCGCACAATTTCTTGGGCCTAGGTGCATTAGTCCTGGAAGATATAAGGTTTTTACCTTTAGATCTTTTCAAATTTTCAAAACAAAAAGGTTCTAAGGGACCTATTATTTTACAGTGTGTGCACTTATAGACTGGATGCTTCTTTCCCTTATGATCTATATCTTTTCCAGATTTTCCATCTTTTTTAAATCCTAGACTATTCTTATTTATGAAAACCCTTTGACTTGATAAAATCAGGCCAAACTTCTCTTTCCCTTAGGTAAACTTTTCTAGGGTTTCCCGTAAATTAGTTACTTTTTCTATAAGGTGTCATACCCCAATTTTGTCCGGACACTTTACC